CTCCTTCGCCCCACATCCAGTCTATTAGCGAGTCCCGTCACCTCTGCTTGCAAAATACACTCAGCAGCTGACCTTTCTAGCCATCTCTTCTACTCCCACCCTGGTCCAGGTGATTGGATTATTGCAGCATCTTCATTATTGATTTCCCTGTTTGTCTTCTTGCCCCACTAAAATCCTGGCTCCACAGCAGCCAGAGTGATCTTTCTGAAACATAGTTCAGATGACATCATTTACATGCTTCTAAGCATGTAAATGTACCTCCTAAGCATGTAACCTGTCTGTGTTAGTCTGTTCTTGTGCTGCTACTATGAAGAAATACCTGAGACTGGGTAATTTATAAAGGAAAGCGGTTTAATTGACTCACACAGTTCTGCAGGGCTGGGGAGGCCTTAGGTAACTTACAATCATGGCAGAAGGGGAAGTAAACACATCCTTCTTCACATGATGGCAGGAAGGAGAATGAGCTGAGTGAGGGGGTAAATCCCCTTATAAAACCATCAGATCTTGTGAGAACTCACTATCACCAGGACAGTATCGGGGAAACGACCCCCATGGTTCCGTTAACTTCACCTGGTCCCTCCCTTGACACACCGGGATTATTACAATGCAAGATGAGATTTTGGGTGGGAACACAGCCAAACCATATCAGGACCCTTCAGTGGTTTGAATAAACCATCACAATTTGAATAAAGTCCAGGCCGGGCTAGGTGGTTCATACTTTTAATCTGAGCACTTTGGGAGGCTGAGACGGGCAGATCACTTGAGGTCAGGAGTTTGAGGCCAGCCTGGCCTACATGGTGAAATCTTGTGTCTACTAAAAATACAAAAAATTAGCTGCAGGTGGTGGCACACGCCTGTAGTCTCAGCTCCTCAGGAGGCTGAGGCAGGAGAATCGCTTGAACCTGAGAGGTGGAAATTGCAGTGAGTCAAGATCGTGCCACTGCACTCCAGCCTGGGTGACAGAGAGGGACTCCATCTCAAAAAACAAAAACAAAAACAAAAAGACTTAAGTCCAAACTCCTGAACATGACCTATGGGCCTACAATATCGGACCCCCGTCTTCATCTTCTATCTCTCCTCCTACCTCCCTCCTCCACACCAGCCCCTCTTCTGTCTGTCAGATTCAACAACCTCATTTCCATCTCAGAGCTTTGCACGTAGTGTCGCTCTGCTGTAATGCTCTGCCCCCATGTCTTCACCTGCTTTCTCTTTCCTGTCATTCACCTCGTGGCTCAAAAGTTGCCTCAGAGAGGCCTTTCCTGATTCCTGTAAGTAAAATTGGACCCTCTAATCCAGTTACTTTCAACACCACCATCCTATAACTTTCTTCATAGAACTTATCACTAACTAAAATTACTTTGTTCATTCATTCATCTGTTTATTGTCACTCTACTGCCTTCCCTGGAACATAAATTATATAAATTCTTTTTTTTTGAGATGGAGTCTCACTGTTATCGCCCAGGCTGGAGTGCAGTGGCGCGATCTCAGCTCACGGCAACCTCTGCCTTCTAGGTTCAAGAGATCCTCCTGCCTCAGTCTCCCGAGTAGCCGGGACTACAGGCGTGTGCCACAACGCCCAGCTAATTTTTGTATTTTTAGTAGAGATGGGGTTTCATTCACCAAATTGGCCAGGCTGGTTTCAAACTCCTGACCTCAAGTGATCCACCCACCTCGGCCTCCCAAGGTTCTGGGATTATAGGTGTGAACCACCATACCTGGCCCTAAATTCCATAAATTCTGTGAGAACAGAAATCTTGCTTATATTGTTCCTACCAGTTTCCCCTGTACCTAGAGTTTTGTCTTAGTGTCTAGCACAAAATAAGCATTCAATACATAGTACATATATATGCACTAATATAGATATATAACACAAATTATATATACTTGTATTTAAGTAATATATATAAAATGAATGATTATACAAAATAACTACTTCATTATAAAAAAATTTGGCAAATACAGAAAAAAATCTTGTACTACCACTATCCAGAGATGAAATACTATTTTTGACGTGTATCTTCCAGACTTTTCTAGTCACACTTTTCCCTTCCAGTGGTGTTTTATAACATGTATACAGTATTTTCCCTGAACTATTGTTTACCACTTTGTTTTCAAATATATTTCTACATCATTTTTAATGTCTACATGATATTATATAAGTAGAAAATAATTTTGGCTGGGTCCAGTGGCTCACACCTGTAATCCTAGCACTTTGGGAGGCTGAGGCGGTGGATGATTTGAAGCTAGGAGTCTAAGACAAGCCTGAGCAACATGGCAAAACCCTGTCTCTACAAAAAATACAAAAATTAGCCCAGTGTGGTGGCAGGCGCCTTTAGTCCCACCTACTCAGGAGGCTGAGGTGGGAGGATTGCTTGAGCCTGGGAGGTTGAGGCTGCATGAGCTAAGATCACCCTACTGCATGCACTCCAGCCTGGGTGACAGAGTAAGACCCTGTCTCAAAAAAAAAAATTTTTTTTTCTTAACTTGTTCTTCATTATGTACGTGTAGATTTAGATTGTTTTCAGAATTTTCTACTGTCGGAACAAACTCTGAGGTAAACATCCTTAACTATTTTCATAGGCTATATTCCTAGAGATAAAATTACTGGAATAAATATTAATATGTATAATTTATTTTTATTTATGTTCATTAAAATTTGTTTATTTGAGACAGGGTCTCACTTCTGTTGCCCATGCTGGAGTGCAGCATGCGCTCGCTGCAGCCCCAACCTCCCGGCCTCAGGTGATCCTCCCACCTTAGCCTCCTAAATAGCCAGGACTACAAGGATGCACCACTATGGCTGGATAAGTTTTCTGGTTTTTTAGTAGAGTCTTGGTTTCACCATGTTGCCCAGGCTGGTCTTGAACTCCTGGGCTCAAGTGATCCTACTGTGTTGGCCTCCCAAAGTGCTGGGATTACAGGCATGCACAACCAGGCCCAGCCATTTTCTTCCTTTGTTAAACTCAAAAAATAAAATTAGCATAATCTGTACCTATGGTTTGTGTTTTTAAAATTTAGGAATATATCCTGGAGAGCTTCTGTATAATTATTTAGGCAGAGTGTGGTGGTTCATGCTTGTAGGCCAAGGTTGGCAGATTACTTGAGCTCAGGAGTTTAAGACCAGCCCGGTCAACATGGTGAAACACCGTCTCTATCAAAAAAAAAAAAAAAAAAAAAAAATTAGCCGGGTGTGGTGGTGTACACCTATAGTCCCAGCTACTCAGAAGGCTGAGGTGGGAGAATCACTTGAACCTGGGAGGCAGAAGTTGCAGTGAGCCAAGATTGCACCACTGCACTCCAGCCTGGGTAACAGAGTGAGACCCTATCTCAAAACAAAAACAAACAAAACAAAACAAAAAACAAACAAAGCCAGATATAGTTTTAAAAGATCGTGCTTAATAATAAGTAAATTACATAAAGAAGAAATATGAAAATAAAGTTGATGAATAAAAAGGCACACTTGAAAAGTTCAAGAGTAGAAGGAATAGGACATTTCTTTTTCTTCCGTTTCTAATGTAGGAAGAAAGGCAATTAAAAGCAATTCTTTTTGCTTTTTTTTTTTTCCTGAGACAGAGTCTAGCTCTGTCGCCCAGGCTGGAGTGCAATGGCACGATCTTGGCTTACTGCAACTTCTGCCTCCCGGGTTCAGGCAACAAAGTGAGACCCCATTCTCCACAGGAAAAAAAAAAAGAAAAGCTGTGTTTAGGTACTAGTCTTTTTTCCACAAATGTTACAAATACTTTTTTAATAGTTAACCCTTTATTGTTTGGCCTGAGTTACATCTTTGATCCAAATGGCTAGCCATTTGTCATAATACATATATTAAATAATTTTAGAATAAATGTAAACTCTTGTTTTATCATTACATGTAGATGCCTCAATTGCTTACATTTCAGTTATGAAGTAAATGGTTTCTTCTTTCAGATTCCTTTTTCCAAATTTTTCTTCTCTAATCGAGGAAGAATCCGGGATGTTCAGCATGAGCTTCTGCTTGACAAGGTAATATATTCCTGTATTTTTCACTCAGAACTGTATCATTTTTAATGAATCGAAACTCTGGTGAGACTGAGTTCATTTGAGAGCTGGCAGATGAAAATTTCTTCTCAGGGCCACTGCTCTTAAACCTAGCCAGAGGCTGACTCAGACCTCCCCTATGAACTATACCCCCATCCTGAAGGAATTTTAGAATGATCATTTTTAGCATGCGTACATTTTACTTTAGCTATTTTTCCCCTGTCCCCTCCCTCCTAATTTAGCTTTAAAATAAGAGTTTATGAACACTTCAAGGAACCTCCATTAGGCATTCATGTTGTCCTTACTAGTCTTTTTTTTTTTTTTTTTTGAGATAAGAGTCTTGCTTTGTCACCTAGGCTGGAGTGTAGTGGCGTGATCTCGGCTCACCACAAATTCCACCTCCTTGGTTCAAGCAATTCTCCTGCCTCAGTCTCCCGAGTAGCTGGAATTAACAGGTGCTTGCCACCTCACTTGGCTAATTTTTGTATTCTTAGTAGAGACGAGGTTTCACCATGTTGGCCAGGCTGGTCTCGAATTCTTGACCTCATGATCTGCACACCTTGGCCTCCCAGTGTTGGAGTTACAGGCCTGAGCCACCGCGCCTGGCCGTCCTTCCTAGTCTTAAGTGGCGCTACCTAATGAGGAGAGGGAAGGAAGTTGAATGGGGAAAGAAGAACAGTCTTGTATTTCCTCTTACGGTATGCTATGTGAGAACTAGTATGTATTTCCTAAGGGCTGATAGCATTAAAACCCAGTTATAATCATCACTTGATGGGATTTTAAACTCCTGGAATAATATCAGTACATCACTGTATGAGATTTTAATCAATTTCTCTGTTTTAAATTTAGATCTCTTCTATAGGATTCACCTTGTCTGATAAAGTGGATGGTCCATTCTTTCTGGAGATAGATTTTATTGGAGTGTTTACTGATCCAGCCCATACAGAAGAATTTGCGTATGAAAATTCTCCAGAGCTTAACCCAAGGCTTTTTAAATAAAGATTATGTGGTAGTTTTGTTTTACTAATCTAAGGGTACTAGCATCTGTAATGATGTAGACAAAATAAAATATTTCTTTAATGGCATCCAACCAATAGCTAGTATGTATTCTCTCTCTCTTTTTTTTTTCTCTTTTGAGATGGAGTCCCACTCTGTTGCCCAGGTTGGCATGCTGGTGTGCAGTAGTGCGATCTTGGCTCACTGCAACCTTCTATCAGCCTCCCGAGTAGCTGGGATTACAGGCATGCGGCACCACGCCCGGCTAATTTTGTATTTTTAGTAGAGACAGGGTTTCTCCGTGTTGGTCAGGCTGGTCTCGAACTCCTGACCTCAGGTGATCCGCCCGCTTCAGCCTTCCAAAGTGCTGAGATTACAGGCGTGAGCCACTGCGCCCAGCTGGCTAGTATGTATTCTCTGAGACAAGTTGAAATGCTGTTGCTGGCCGGGCAGGGTGGCTCATGCCTGTAATCCCAGCACTTTGGGAGGCTGAGGCAGGAGGATCACTTAAGGTCTGGAGTTCGAGACCAGCCTGATCAGCATGGTGAAACCCCATCTCTACTAAAAATACAAAAGTTAGCCGGGCATGGTGGCACACGCCTGTCATCCCAGCTACTTGGGAGACTGAGACAGGAGAATTGCTTGAACTGGGAGGCAGAGGTTGCAGTGAGCCAAGATCACGCCACTGCACTCCAGCTTGTGCCACAGAGTGAGACTCTGTCTCAAAAACAAAAAAAGTCTGTTGCTAAGAGGGACTGGATAAGGGGAACACAGCATGAAACCAGGTTCTCTGGTGTACTTTATCTCATAGAATGCAAGTACTGATGCAAATGTACTATGTAAATAATTTAGTGTTTTTGCTCAGAGCAGTTGCTGTTAGGAACATTTCCTACATGAGTAGTTTCCAAAGCAGGAATCTCTGAGATGACCGTTAATGGCCTTCTACCACTCTGTTGCATTTAGATTTCTTCTATTTTCATTTTGTGTTGCTTTTTTGAGATGGAGTTCCGCTCTGTTGCCTAGGCTGGAATGCAGTGGTGCAATCTCGGCTCACTGCAACCTCTGCCTCCCAGGTTCAATCGATTCTCTTGCCTCAGCCTCCCCAGTAGCTGGTATTACAGGCACACACCACCATGTCTGGCTAATTTTTTTGTTTTTAGTAAAAATGGGGTTTCGTCATGTTGGCCAGGCTAGTCCTGAACCCCTGACCTCAGGTGATCTGCCCAAGGCAATAATTCAGTAAATCACAGAGACTTACTCCTGTGGTTTCTTCTAAGACTTTTGTAATTTTAGTTCTAACACTTAGGTCTACGTTTTGTTTTTTGTTTTTTTTTTGAGATGGAGTCTTGCTCTGTGGCCCAAGCTGGAGTGCAGTGGTGTGATCTCGGCTTGCTGCAACCTCTGCCTCCCAGTTCAAGCAATTCTCCTGCCTCAGCCTCCTGAGTAGCTGGGATTACAGTCATGCGCCACCATACCTGGCTAATTTTTTTTTTTTTAGTAGAGACGGGGTTTCACCGTGTTGATCAGGCTGGTCTCGAACTCCCAGCCTCAGGTGATTTTTTTTTTTTTTTTTGTGATGGAGTCTTGCTCTGTCACCAGGCTGGAGTGTAGTGGCATGATCTCGGCTCCCTACAACCTCCACGCCTCCCAGGTTCAAGCGATTCTCTGCCTCAGCCTCCTGAGTAGCTGAGATTACAGGTGCCCGCCACCATG